ATCGGGGGGGGGGGGGGGTATCGTGGACGGAGGTTGATGCTGACGGCATCCATCACCAAGGTAGGGAAGAGGGAAAGGGATTGTTAGGTGAGGGTCGAGGCTGTTGGTGCAAGTTCTTTTGGGCAAGTGGAAGCCGATTTTGTTTTAGTTTCATTCTTTCGTCGAAAATGCATGCCGCACAAGAGCAAAGAGAACCTCCGGCAGGGGCGGGGGGGGGGCGCCGCTGGATGTATGTGTGGGTGGCTGACTCGGGAGAAAGAGAAAAGCTTTTTCCCTCGTTCCCACGGGTGATGCAGCCACCATGTTACTACCTGTTCAACAAAAGGTGCGTGTAGGCCCTTTTGTTTGGGCCTCTATTAGGCTGTCGAAACAGATTGACGACCTGGTGGGCTTTCGGTATTTACTGGCAAGGAAGGGTGGCTCGCAGGAGGAAGGGGCCATGAAGAAGGGGCTATAATTGTTGCCGCGCCGGCGCATCCATTCATTCGTGTTTCTCGCCTTTGCCCGAAGTGCGCGAGTACCGCACGTACGCGTGTATGTACGTGTGTTTCTATCGTTAGCACCGACCGCGCTAACCGGCTGACCAATGACAAAACGACGGAAGTCTCACTACGGTTAAAAAAAAACAAAAATGTCTCTACAAGGCCATGATCCGGGACCCCGGGACGGGGCGTCATGGGGGAGCCTATGCTAAGTCTGTGTGTTTTATTTTTTGTACCATGTTTTTATGTTTTGTGTCTTCGTGTGTGAATGTGGGGGGGGACAGTGTGCCTGGGATAGACGTTTCTATTTTCTGTTTTGTCATCTTTGGGGTACACTGCAGCAGTGTAGGGTATAGTCTAAACCCGTGTCGTTACTTGTTGTTTGGTAGCAGTTATTTGTGTTGTTTGTGTGAAATGTGCTGTGATTTCGGTGTAGTAGAAGAAGCTCAATGGATCTGTTTCTCGGGGGTAATATCGTGTGATTGGGTCGTTGTGTGTTTTGTGGTTGTTTGTTGTGTTTCAGTCTCTCTCGCAACGAGTGTGCGTCCAGCCGCACATACACCCGGAGCAGCGAAGACTCGATCGTTCTTGCTTAGTTTTCGGCGTCTCCTCGTATTCTAGGGCCCGTCAGGTTTACTTGCAGGTAGAATCGGCATACATTTTTAACTTACAGAATTCCTGAGGTATTTAGCTAGCTGGTGTTGAGAACATTGCACCCCTCTCTCGCGCCTGGAGGTAGGTATGTCGGATTTGGTGCGTCAGCACGAAAGAAAGGGGAAGGGAACGGAAGGGAAGGGGAACAGCAACCTATCTTTGATGGCACCATACGTGATGGGCTTCATTACTGAGCCCCGCCTTAGATATTGATAACGTCTTACATATTGGGTATAGTTAAGTGTGTGTGAATATGTAGCGGTCATTTTTTTGGTCCGGCGATGGGTTGATTCGATGGGTCATAAGATTAACGATTTCGAGATGGGTTTGGAGAGATGTAGCGTGCGTGCGACCTATCTTTGATGGCACCATGCGTGATGGGCTTCATTACTGAGCCCCGCCTTAGATATTAACGTCTTACATATTGGGTATAGTTACGTGTGTGTGAATATGTAGCGGTCATTTTTTTGGTCCGGCGATGGGTTGATTCGATGGGTCATAAGATTAACGATTTCGAGATGGGTTTGGAGAGATGTAGCGTGCGTGCGCACGTTACTAATTAATGTATCCATTTTTTCACGTGCGTGTTGCCGCATGATGAGCAAGGAAGAAGGTGGCACGACGAGAGGGGGTTCTTACGACTTGATCGAAGCAAAGAACGGTTGACGGGGAATCAATCCTTCTGGAAACTTCCTGGAAACTTCCTGTCTGTGTGTAACCCACGACGACGTGGCAGCAGGCGGAGTTTGACACGGGAGTGAGTGGGTAGCACTCTCCGCAGTTTCGTCGTTTTTGACGACGGACTCACTTGCTACCTGGCGCTTCTTGAAAATGGTTGTTAAATAAATTCATTCATTGTGGGACGGATGACATCGAAATCAATCGTGCAATGTTGGCGATAGGACTCCTCCTTACGAGGCCTACGGCGCGCCCTGATGATGTACTAGTATACAAAGCACTTTCTTTTGACTAATAATAGCGGGAGAAGCCCGTACGCCTTGATTTGAGATAATGACATCATGAAGATCGGGCGACAACCATCACACTCTGTGTGCAACTAACTGCGATAGATCGGATGGATGGGCGGATGATGGTAAAAAAAAAACGAAGGAGCGAGACATGCATAATAGATAGGTGGGACACAGCAAGAAGTTCAGGCAGACTTACTTGACACCTCCCGTTACCATTGTAGCATGTTTATCTCCAAACGGCTCAGACAGAAGCAAGCCCCGATTTTTCTCGACGGAGAGAAATCGAAATGCCGTATGCAGGGTCTACACCCCGCATGCATTGTAGATGAAAGAAAGCAAGAACTCGTAATAGCTAACTGTCATTTTTGCCGCCCCTATAATCAAATGTACGCGGGAGGTGCCGATTATTTTTCCTTTTCCGCCGTGCATGCTGCGGTACGGAGGCCGGGTGCCCTCAACCCCACGCCGGCCAAAAAAACGGATTTTCGCAAACGAGCCTAATGCCTTCTTTTCTCTCTTTGCACGTGGTTGAACCAGTTTCCAGACGACGACAAGCAGACCTGGTAGTCTACACATACAACATTCGAGGGCGCAAAACTAGTGAAAGAACAAAAGGCCAACAAATGAGAAACACCTTGTAGCCAAGACACTCTGTCATGTCAGTGCCATTCCTCTCGGCTATTCAAAAGGGAAAAGGTGAGTAACCAGACGCACCGTTCTTGTAAGTAAGATGACCGAGGTTAAGAAACCGCCCGCTCTGTCTGCTGGGGAACCAAAAGAATGGCGGGACAAATTCATTCTCCTACATACGTAGGTCTATTCAGAATGTACGTGTATACTGCAGAGAGAGAGAGAGAGGTGATGTTCTCGGTCATAGAAAAAAAATTATGGTCTAAACAAACAAGAAGCAAAGGCCACCAACAACGTCACACGCGGTACAAGTATAGACTATATAAGTACTTGTCACGAAGATTTCGGGCCATTATTTTCTCATCTCACGAAATTTAACGCTCGCAGCGGTCATCAAGCCAAAGCACGCTCGCGACATCACGCAAAAAAACAATCGCTCTCCCTCGTATGGTATGCATACTGCATACTTGGCGGGGCAGATAGATCGGTACCACCAGCGTTGTCCTACGCGAGAGTGACAAGAAAGCCGGCAACTAGAAGTACGACGATAATAATAAAATCAAACTGGCCAGGCGGGGGGGGGCGGCAACAAAAGCCCCCCTCAAATCACGCGTTTCCATTTCCTCCCCCCAACACACCCGCCAATCGATACAGACGGTTAGGTGGCCGCCGACGATGGATTGAGATTCCAAGAGCCAGGACAACATGCGCGACGAAAGACAGAGGTTCCCCCCCTCCCCCCCCACCCCCACCCCCCAGAAACAAAGAAATCGCGAACTGCACACGGGATATATATATATATATATTTAGACAAGCGGGGCCTAAAAAAAAAATTCGCCGCTCGGTTGGGCAACATATCCAGCGGCAAAGCGCGGTATCTACACAGACAACCAACATGTTTAGCAACATGGATGGATGTACGTGAGGACGGCCACAGCAACAAACAGATAGACAGCAGGCAGTCCTTTCCGGCCGAACTAGGTGATGAGCGTACACAAGAGACCTCGTAAAACAGAAAAAACTTCCAGAAAAGGATTGAGTTTTGGCTAAAAAAAAGCATAGTGGGCCGGCGTGGTCTTCTCCCGCATGCATGCGTGTGTGTACATTATATAGAGGCAGCAATACAGCCGCAGAACACACGCGTCTCTCAGCGGTTTGTTTACCCCTCTCCGGCAGCCAATCTCTCCCTCTCTCCCTCTCTCTCTCTCCCTCTCTCTCTCTCTCTCTCTCTCTCTCTCTCTCTCTCTCTCTCTCTCTCTCTCTCTCTCTCTCTCTCTCTCTCTCTCTCTCTCTCTCCCTGTAACGCCCCCCCCTCTCTGAATAACCATTCGTCCCCACCCGCCCTTTCTTATGTTGCCGTTAGCGATGTGGACAACCAAGATAACCGGTTCGAGACATCGCAGCTTAGTCCGCGGGCAACGACTCCCTACCGCTACTACTCCCGTTCGTTCGTTCCGCTCCAACGAGCATCACCAGCTAACTCACAACAGAGCCACGAGACGCACGCAAAACAGACCGAGTACAACAATCATTCGTAGAAAGGAAAAAAAAAAAGAAGTAAGAACTAGAAGGTGTTGCGAGCACATCATCCCAACAAACAACCAAATGAACGTAGCGATCGATGCAATACTACCACTACTCTTTAACTATCAACATTCCACAGTATGGCCCCTCACACGCACAAAAAAAAAAAAAAAAAACGTTCCCTGCGGTGTGTGGAAAACAATTATCCTTGACTGCTCCAAGGGCACTTCTGCACAGACATACGAGCTGGGCTCTACCCTCGCCACCGGTCGAAGTACCACTCGCTTGCTCCCGCTCCCCTTCTTCCGCGCCTGCTGCTTCTGCATAAGAGGAGCACGTCTCGGCACAAGCAGGAGCACGCATAAACGCATGTATTTTCATGATAATACACGCTAAATTGTGGTAAATTATGTACGCACCCTGTCCCCAATAACAACAACGCATTGGCATTGGCAAACCGCGACTGGTCAAGTGTCCCTTGTTTGTTCCCCCCCCATCGTCCTCTAGGACGCGCGGCCAATGGTTTAACGGCTAAGGCATACTTCTGCAAAGCATGAGCGAGTACGCCCCCCCCACTCCTCAGCTCGTCAAGCACACGCGTGACACATCGCGGCCGTTGTCGACCTGCACGTCTCATCACCCTTCCTTTGCCATTGATGACAATCTCATCACCCGTCACTGAAGGAGAGAACAAGACTGCTGTACGTTTCATTGCCCTTCGACTTGACGACGATGATCATCATCCGTCAATGACATTTATAGAGGAAGACCACCGCGCCGGTGGTAGCCGGACACACATCGTGTAGCCGGACGCACATCATCCTTCAAGCTCGTCATCGTCGTCGTCTTCATCATCGTCATCGTCGCCTTCAGGGACAAACCTCGAGTCGGCCGTGATGCGATCTGCCAAGAGCCCCAGGTCTCCATGGTAAAGCTTGAGCTTCTCCAGCCACTCCGCAGCAAACGCAGGCAGATACTGCCGGGTGTAGTCCCATGCCTGAGGGGGGGGGAGGGGGG